ATAGATTCCACATGGCACAGTCCTAATAGAACTCTAACTCTACTTAGCAGAGTCCTCCTAGGAGTCTCATACCTAAGGATAGTGCTTATCCTTAGAACACCCTCCTCACTACAAGCCAAGTGAGATGGCACAAGTCTTTGCTTGGCTTTCTACCATCTAACCGGACTACCTCTGCTCTGTCTACCAATGGCTTAGCCGTGCAACACGCAGCACCGTGAAAGCTAACATTGCATAACTCTCCTCCTAGCTCGGCTCTCCTCTCTGTTTGACTACCTTGTTTGGTAGCTCGGCCATAGCGTTGACCACCACTAGGAAGTAGCTAGGTTCCATAGCTAGGTCCCGTGGCTAGGTCCCATAGCTAGGCCTCGTGGCTAGGTCCCATAGCTATCCCTTGTAGCTAGGTCCCATAGCTCGGTCCTATAACTAGGCCCGTAGCTAGGCCCGTAGCTAGGTCTTGTAGCTAGGTCTCATAGCTCGGTCTCGTAGCTAGGTCCCATAGCTCGATCCCGTAGCTAGGTCTCTTAGCTAGGTCCCATAGCTAGGCTTTGTAACTAGGCCCCGTAGCTAGGTCCAAAAATATGGGCATTTACTAGTTCGGTCAAACATCTTTGACGGCTACTCTAACTTAGCTCGGCCCCAATTTGGCTACACAAATTATCCTCTCAATTGCTCCTTAATTTCATCTGCAGTGCATGATTGGGATTACTCTGTCCAGCCGAGCTACTTTGCTCCATCCAATCGGGCTCACCAAAATTGCTTAATCAAAGATTTCTTATAGTTAGACAATCTTGTCAATCATACTTTGCCAAGCTAACCAGCTCAGCAAAGATTTCAAAAAGTTAATCACACTTGCCAACCTTCTTTAGCCGAGATAACCATCTCAATCAAGGAGTGCAAAAATTTGGTCACACCTGTCGACCTTCTTCGACCGAGATAACCATATCGGTCAAAGAGTGCAAAACGTTAGTCACACCTGTCAACCTTCTTCGGTCGAGATAACTATCTTGGTCCAAGAGTTCAAAAAAAAAAAATGTTGGTCAAACCTGCCAACCCCGTGTTGGCTGAGATAACTATCATCTCAGTCAAATAGTGCAAAAAGTTATTAGTCAAACCTACAAACCTTCTTTGGCCGAAATAACCATCTTAGCTAAAAATCCAAAAAATGAGTTGGTCAAACCTACCAACCTTCATAGCTCCTAGTTCAGCAAAGAGTGCAGAAAACATTTGTGGTCAAACCTGCCCACCTTCTTTGGCCTAAATACTCATCTCGGCTAAAGAGTGCAAAAATGTGTTGGTCAAGCCTGCTAACCTCTATTGCCTGCCCCCAGTTAGGCAAGGAGTGCAAAAATTTTGTTGGTCAAACTTGTCAACCTTCTTTAGCCTAGATACTCATCTCGGCCAAAGAGTGTAAAAAAATTTGTTAGTCAAACCTACCAACCTTCTTTAGCCTAGATACTCATCTCGGTAAAATAGTGCAAAAATAAATTTTATTGTTCAAACCTACCAACCTTCTTTAGCCTAGATACTCATCTCGGCAAAATAGTGCAAAAATAAATTTTGTTGTTCAAACCTACCAACCTTCTTTAGCCTAGATACTCATCTTGGTAAAAGAATGCAAAAAAATTTGTTGGTCAAACCTGCCAACCTTCTTTAGCCTAGATACTTATCTCGGCTACAGAGTACAAAAATGTGTTGGTCAAACTTGCCAACCTTCATTGCCCTCCAGTTAGGCAAAGAGTGCAAAAATTTTGTTGGTCAAACCTGCCAACCTTCTTGAGCCTAGATATTCATCTCAGCTAAAAAGTGTAAAAAATTTTGTTGGTCAAACCTATCAATCTTCTTTAGCCTAGATATTTATCTAGGCTAAAAAGTGCAAAAATGTGTTGGTCAAACCTACCAACCTTCATTGCCTCCTAGTTAGGCAAAGAGTGCAAAAATTTTGTTGGTCAAACCTACCAACCTTCTTTAGCCCAGATACTCATCTCGGCCAAAGAGTACAAAAAATTTTGTTGGTCAAACCTGCCAACCTTCTTTAGCTTAGATACTCATCTCGGCTAAAGAGTGCAAAAATGCGTTGGTCAAGCCTGCCAACCTTCATTGCCCCCTAGTTAGGCAAAGAGTGCAAAAATTTTGTTGGTCAAACATACCAACTTTCCTTAGCCCGGATACTCATCTCGACCAAAGAGTGCAAAAAATTTTGTTGGTCAAACCTGTCAACCTTCTTTAGCCTAGATATTCATCTCGACCAAAGAGTGCAAAAAATTTTGTTGGTCAAACCTGCCAACCTTCTTTAGCCTAGATACTCATCTCAACTAAAGAGTGCAAAAAAAAAAATTTGTTCGTCAAACCTGCCAACCTTCTTTAGCCTAGATACTCATCTCAACTAAAGAGTGTAAAAATAAATTTTGTTGGTCAAACCTGCCAACTTTCTTTAGCCTCGATACTCATCTCAGCTGAAGAGTGCAAAAATGTGTTGGTTAGACCTGCTAACTTTTATTGCCCCCAGTTGGACAAAGGTTTGTTTAGAAAGAGTTGGTCAAATTTGCCAACCCCCTTTGCTCCCTGTTAGGCAAAGATTTGTTAGAAAGAGTTGGTCAAACCTGCCAACCCACTTTGCCTCCAGTTGGGCAAAGATTTTTACGCGGTCGGTCCTTCTTGTCGACAGTGTTAACTTTTGCCGAAGGCTTTTTGTCCGGCATCGCTGTTATGTCGAACTCTGCCTTGGCGTGCGCTCCATCTTCCTCTACCTGGATGTGTTAGTGCATTCTTTCCATAAGGGCTTCCATAGTAAGGGGGCAGTGTCATTGTCATTGAATCTCTTAACTTATGACCCACTAGCAGGCCCTGCTTGTACTGTGTAATAGCTAGGTTGGTAAGACAGTCATCTATCTGGTTGAAGGTCTCCCAATACCTTGACTAGCGTTTTGGTGTTCGTCTTAAACCTGGTGATAAACGTCCCTGCAAGTTTTGCCCATGAGGTGATGCTACCTTCTGGCAACTTTTCAAACCAAGTTAAGCCCAGGTCACCCAAGCTTGACGGAAACAAGATGCACATTAGAGCTTCGTTCCGCCGATGTATAGCCATAACTTAGCAAAAGTGGCAAAAGTGCATGTTAGGGTTTGACTGCCCCTCATAGGTTATGAACTTAGGTTGGTTTAAGCCCAAAGGTAATGGTGCATTCTCTATCGCTGGAACGAACGACGTGCTTTGTAATTTTGCTAACGCTTTGTCTGCTGGTTCGTAAGCAAGGCGCGACATAGGAGTTCCAACCTCGACAATTCCATGTGTCCGCGGAGCCAGCCGCTGTAGAGCAGAGACCCTTTGGGGGTCGCATGCCTGGGCGTCTTCTCTTCTTCGAGCCCTTTCTTTAAGCACGATTCGCAAGTCTGCCGACCTAGGCAACTCGGTGTGCTGAGAAATGGTTTGATGCGTATAGGAGTGTGATAACCTTGTCACGTATAATATTTTATATTTGGTTAGTTAAGGAGATTTGGGATTTTAATTAGTCGTTGTCCTAATTTAATTTGGGATTTGTGAGAATTGTGGAATCTAATTCATATATGATTCTATTGAAGATTTATTTTAAGGATCCAAATGGCTTAAGGAAGCAAAATTAAGAAGTTGAATCAATTTAATTTTAATTACGGACCCATTTGGGAGCTAATTAAGTTAATTATGTTATAAGGTTTGAGAAATTATGACTATTATGAATTAAATCTATTTTCAAGATATCTAATTTGAATATGAAATTTATTGACAAGGATTTTGGATTTGATTTGAAATTAAGGGCCTTGGTGATTTACAAAACAAAAATTGATGATGATAATAAGTTCAATTTAATATTTGGAACCTCCTTGTTTTATTTTAGGACATTGATCAAAGTGGTAACATAATGGTAAAGTAGGAGTGAACCAAGAATTTAATTCGGATAATTTTTCCTACGAACAGCCGTCACTCTTTTGCCCTTTTCTTTTTCCACACTTTGAATTTGGATGTGAGGCTAGAACCATTGGAAAGCTTATTTCCGGGGCTTCAATTTGGACACAAGAACGACCTAGAACGGAGACCGAATGAGAGAGTTATGCCCGTTTGAAGTTTTGAAATCTGTGCTAGAAACAGGTACGCTCGAGCGGACTACACGAGTTCAGCAAGTTTAAAGGCACATTTCTAAATCATTCTTTGCATTTTCCATTTCCTTCCTCCTTCCTCTCACCCTAGGTCCGAAAACCCTAGGTTTTTTACCCCAAATATCTTCCATTCCTCTAAGTTTTGGCCAAGATCTCTCACCAATACTACAAAAAAAATTATTTTTTGCGACGGGAAAACGCCGTCGCAAATACCCCAAATGTCGTCTCAAAAGGTTTTTGCGACGACAAGTGGGGGTCGCAACAAAAGGGGTTGCAAAAGGGTTTTAGCGAGCCTTTGCTTTTGCGACGGGAAAATTCCTTTTTTGCGACGGCAAATTTCTGTCGCCAATAAGGGATGAAAATCTGAGTTTTTTGCGACAGCACAGTATTGCCGTCGCTAAAAAGGTTTTTTGCGACGACAAAAATACCGTCGCTAAAAGTGTATTTGAGACAGCAACCTGAGCCGTCGCTAATGACTATTGTCGACGGCTATGATACCGTCGCTAAAGGCCTTATTTTTCAATTATATTCCCTACCTTTTGCGACAGTATATGTGCCGTCGCAAAAAGCTTGTTTCAATTTTCTTTTTGAGACGGAGTGTTTTGCCGTCTCAAAAAAATTTAAAAAAAAAACAAAAAAAAAAACCTTTAATAAAATTAATAAAAATATGAAAATGACCTGTATTAAATGAAAAATAACTATATAAAAAAATCAATAATTATATAATAATATAAAAAAATCCAATATATAAATAAAAATTCATCCATAATTAAAAAGCAAGTTATATTCTAACATTAACAATTCCATCTTCTAGTCAAATGTAAAGTACCACTGAAACACTACAACATAAAAACAAAGCCAAGGGCAAAAAAAAAAAGAAGATGTACATAAGACAGTCACTAGCTACATTAATATTAGAATTGCTTTAATTACATATCATATAAGATTAACCCAATCCATGCCATGATTGTAATTGTTTTCTGGCACATAAAAAATATTCCCAAACCCTTCCATCCCAAACTCCCCTAGAAAAGGAGGTGGATCCATAGCTTCCATGGAGAACAATGAAGCTGGACTGTTGCTTGAAACACCATCACATCTCTCCAGTAGCCTCTGTATCTCCTTCTCTGCCTCGGAAAGCTGTTCCTTGAGCGTCATTACCTGTAAATTTACCAATAATTTGTTATAAGATTGAGATGGTTACTTGATTTGGTTTCCAAACCTTAGGAGTGGAGAATTATAATAAAAAACCATGAAGTGGTTGGTGGGTGTGAAAATGTAGAGTAATGCTAGACATTTTTTTAATTGTAGAAAATAAAATATGTAGACCAAAGATTCATTAATCTACATCTTACATTTTATTTTTGTGGACACTTTTTCTAGGTTTGTGGTTTATCCGGAAAGAGTTTTACTACGAATCTAGCAACCAAATACATGAATGAACACAAAAATATACAGGAATTGACTAGATTTTACAAAATTTATTGGTGCGCCCACTTCTAAAAAATTTGCCTCTCATATAAACCCATCATTCCTGAAGTGGCAAATTGAGTTGATGAAGAGTTCATACCTTAATTCACTGATAAAAAGGCAAACATAATAATTCAGCTGAAGCATCATACAAATGATGTAATAGAAATTATGCAAAATTGCATCAACCCACAATGAAAGAAGATGTCTCAGAGAAACAGAACTTGACAAAATAACATAACTCTAGGCAAAGCCCACCAATCACAGCCTTCTAATTACATCTCTTACTACTGTCATTTGATATATAGTATTAGGCAGTCTATTTGTCAAAATTTTAAAATTTAAAAATGAAAAAAGAAGAGAAGAAAAAAAGTTATTCTGACAAGAATGTGAGGGAGAATGCTTATTCGCTGATATATGATTACATGACATACATATGCACGATGAGGCCTCCACTGTGGGACAGTATATGAATTATTGTACTGGTATCTAATTCAATCACAAGCTATTACTAATTCCATAGACTCTTGAACCTTATAGCCTACTTCCTGATATTATATGCCTTTTCTCTAATAATTCAATCCTAAAAAGTATGCCACTTAAAAAAAACTAAACAATACTCATAAATAACATGGTTGCTTCATCCATACCATTTATAATCTACAAACCACATCCTCCTAGTGTTTCCAAAAATCAACCGCCACAATTATGTAACAGTATCAGTGGCTCCAAGGCACCATTTCAGCCACCATAGTGGTGGCCATAGTTAAGTAACAAAGTCAAATATTATGCAACTCATTCTGAGCAGAGCAATGTGTGACTAACAAAAAATCCTTAAATTTGAGTTTTGAGGCTCGAAAGTGGAGTGACCAACATAACATTATAGGGTAATTAGTTATGATGTGAAATATGTGCAAAATTACATTGAAGAGTGAGTAAACAAGTACAGTGTTAGAATCACACAAGTCAAGCACAAGAATTTACCCTTCTCCCCATGGATATTGAGCACTTTCCATATCAGCCACCACTTGGCCAATTGGATATTCACCTGAATGTCCATCATGTCTACTTGATCCCCAATTAGATGAAAAAATCTCTTTGGATCCATCGAAGCAGACATTATCCAGAATGCTTTCCATAGATGCTCTCAGTTTCAGATGATCATAGCATCCATCTTCCCATGTCAAAAACCTGAAAGAACAGGCAACTCAACATCAACAGCAAAGTAGCTAGTGCTTATTGTAAATAGTACTTGCCAAAAAAGAGACCATCCATGGCACATGCTCAGTGCAGACCATTATCTATAAAAATAATTATTTTAATATGTAAAGTAATAAATAAATAAAAAATACTACCATATGGATTTATGCTGATGAAATTACTTCCTACAATTTATGGACATTGTTTAAAATGGTACTCCACATTCATATTTTAACAATTTTTCCCTAAAGTGAGAAAGGGATTAAGCTCTTTACAGAATTGCAGATCCATTAGAACTATGTCAGAATTACAGGTAGTAGCAAAATGGTCATAAGCACATTATGGACCTAATAAAAAATGTGTACTAGAATTCGACCCCTAAAAAAGCTTAGTAATAAGCAACAAGAGAGGGAAGATCAAGTTTGTCAAATGGTTAATACTTATAAAAAGAAAATGCCTGTCCAAAAAAATGCCTGTCCAACTCTAATTTTTCAACTATCCAAAAAAACATCCTAAGATTTGGCTTACTATAGACCCAAGTGATACTCACTCCCTCACTCCCCTTTATCACATGATATAAAACCAATGTCATATACAAAATACAAAATTCATTTGGCAACATTTCCTAAAATATATAATCTCGTCAAAGTGATTAAAACAGAGACTAGCATTGTGATATAGAGCTGTAGGTAGGTACCAGGTAGCTAAAATCAACAAGAAGTTCACATGAAACAATGAGTCAAGAAAATTTAGGATTTTTTTTCCCCGTCAAACCAAACAGAAGCAATTGGAATTTTTTCCACAGATTCTCATCATATACAAGAGTGAATTGAACATGCATACAAGGACATAAAATCTGATATTAAAAACAAAACCCTGACTCAATACGATCTTAACAGATCGACTAAAGAAACAGCTCAATAACAAAAAAAAAAAAAAAAAAAAAAACATGTTCAGATTCAGAAAAGAAAAACAACTCACAAGGCCTCGCAAACCGATCCAACGGGCCTGACATAACTCAGTCTCTCGATTTCGCACAAATAGCGGTACAAGAAGTCTCAAATCTGAGCGATTCAACTGCAAATTGAAGCGCTACAAAACCTGCATTACGATCAAAAACCCTAGAAATTGCAGGATCGGAAAGAAAGATTGGAGATTTTGGGTTTTTCAGGGGGGATTTTGGTTGAAGAGGTTGGGGTTTTGGGGAGGAGGGCGGGGGGGAGACCCGATTGGGGATTTTGGGTTGAAAACAGATTTGGGGATTTTTGGGTTTGGGGGAGGGAGAGGGGGCGGGGAATGGAAAAACAGAAACAGATTGTGGATTTTTGGGTTTTTGGGGAGGGGGGAGCGGGAATGGAAAGAGGGAGGGGGGAACCGGGCGGGAATGGAAAAAAAAGGGGGGAGAATGGAAATTTTTTTGGATTTTTTTATTTTTATTTTGATTACAAATAAATATTTAAATAATAAAATGATTTTTTTTTTTTTTGCAACAGAGGATGTCATTGCTAAAAAAAATTATTTTTTATTAAAATAATTTTTTTTATAGTTAATGAATTTTAATTTTAATTTTAATTTTTTCATTTAGTAAGGTTGAAAATTTATTTGTTTCATATTTATATTAATGAATAAAAAATTATTATTATTTTTTTATTTGGTAGAAGTAGGGATAATATTTTCCATTAAAATAAAGTTAATTTTTTGTGGTCAATGTGGCATTTGCAGTGGTAGTAATGGTAATAATGGAATGGCATTTGCAGTAGTGGTGAATGTGGTAGAAAAGATGGGTGGTGAGAGAGATGAGTGAGAGACAGATAGAGAAGAGAGAAAGAGAGAGAGACAGACAGACAGAGACAAAGTGATGAGCGAGAGAGAGACAAAGTGGTCGCTAAAAGTGCATTTTCTTGTAGTGGAGAGTTCGGTAAATAGAGAAGAGATGAGGGAGAGAGTGAGAAAGGTAAACACAATGGGGAGAGAGAAAGCAGACAGACAGACACATAGAGAGAGAGAGAGAAGAGCGAGAGACAGACAAACAGACATAGAGAGAGAAAGAGACAGAGAAGAGTGATAAGTGAGAGAGAGACAAAGAGAGAAAGAGATATAAAGAGAGATAGGGAGACAGAAAGAGAAACAGATAGAGAGAGAGACATATAGAAAAATAGAGAGAAACAAGAGATGAGCGAGAGATAGATAGATAGAGAGAGAGAGAGCGAAAAGAGATGATCGAAAGAAAGACATAGAAAAAGAGAGAGAGACGAAGAGAGAAGAAAGATGAGCGAGAGAGATGGAGAGAGAGATAGAGAGAAGATAAATGAACAAGAGAGATAGAGAGATGAGAGAGATAAAGAGAAGAGAGATGAGCGAGAGACAAAGAGAGAAAGAGAAAGAGAAAGAGACAAAGACAAAGACTGATAGACAGAGAAGAGTGATGAATGAGAGAAAGAAGAGAGGTAATATTTTGTGGTAGAGAAGAGGAACCGACAGTAGTGGTGAAGGTGGTGGATAAGAGATGATGGTGGTGGTGGTGGTGGTGGTGGTGGTGATGGTGATGACGAAGGAGATTAGTGGTGAAGTTGTGGTAGTAGTAGAGTAGATGGAGTAGCAGGGGTGAAAGAGAGGTAATGGTTGTAGTAGTAGTGGCAATAGTGGTAGCGGTGGTAGTGGAGTGGTGGCGATTGTAATAGTAATGGTAGTCGTAGAGGTGAAATGGCGTTTGCAGTAGTGGTGAAGGTGGTAGAGGAGATGAGTGGTGAGAGAGAGAGATGAGTGAGAGGCACAGAGAGATAGAGAGAGAGAGAGAAAAGAGATGAGAGAAGAGATAGATGAATGAGAGACACAGAGAGAGAGAGACAAATAGACAGACAGAGACAGAAGAGTGATGAATAAGAGAGAGAAAGAAAATAGAGAGAAAAAGATGAAAAAATGGGTGAAAAGATATAGACAGAGAGAGAGAAAAAAAAAGAGCGAAAAGAGTTAAACGAGAGAGACAGAAAGAGATAAACGAAAAAGTGAGAGAGAGAAAAAGAAGAGAGAGAGAAGAGAGACAAAGAGAGAAGATAGATGAAAAAGATAGAGAGAAGAGAGATAGACGAGAGACACAGAGAAAAAGAGAGACAAACAGACAGACAGACAGAAAAGAGTAATGAGTGAGAGAGAGAAAGAGAAGAGAGACAGAGACAAAGAGAAAGAAAGAGACGGACAGACAGAGAAGAGTGATGAGTGAGACAGAGACAGAGACAGAGAAGAGAGACAGAGACACAGAGAGAAAGAAAGAGACGGACAGACAGAGAAGAGTGATGAGTAAGAGAGGGAAAAAGAAGAGAGACAGAGATAGAGAGATAGGAAGATGAAAAAATGGGTGAAAAGATAAATGTTCAAAAGAGTAAGACGACGTCGTTTATAGTGGATCGATAAATCGAGAAGGAGCTCGATAAATAGAGAAGATGAGAGTAAGAGAGTGAGCAAGGCGAACATAGTGAGGGAGAAATAGACAAATAGACAAGTAGAGAAAGAGAGAGAAAAGAGTGATGAGTAAGAGAGAGACAGAAAGAGAGAGATAGACAGAAAAAGAGATAGAGAGAGAAAAAGAGAGAGAGAGAGAGAGAGATAGAGGGACAGATAGAAAAAGAGAGAGAAACAAGAGATGAGCGAGAGATAGACAAAAAGAGAGAGAAATAGAGCGAAAAGAGATAAGCGAGAGAGAGACACAAAAAGAGAGAGACAGAGAGAGATAGAGAGAGAGAGAGAAAAAAGAAATGAGAGAGATAGAGAGAAGAGAAATGAGCGAGAGAGACAGAGAGAGAAAATAGATGAGAGAGATAGAGAGAAGAGAGATAGGCGAGAGACATGGAGAGAAAATGAGAGAGAGAAACAGACAGACAGAGAAAGAAGAGTGATGAGTGAAAGAGATAAATAGAAGAGAGAGAGATAGAGACAGAGAGACATGAAGATGAAAAAATGAATAAAAAGAGAAATGTCATATCAAAAGAGTAAGAAGACATTGTTTTTTTAAATTTTTTTTGCGACAGAAAAAAGTACTAGAATTTATTCAAACCATTTTGTGACTATATATATATGAAACTGTCTCAAAACCACAATCACTATGCTAGGTTAGAGTTTTCCAAAAACTCTTTTGAGAAAATTATACTTTCTTGTTTTCCGTGTTATATTATTTTTACTGAATTTTTTTAATATTTTAAGTATTTTTTTTTTTAATTTTTAGACACACTTAACATAAATACACCTAAAAATTAAAAAAATTGTAAAAAAAAATCTTTTAAAAATTCACTAAATACCAAAAATATAATAATTCAATATATTTTTTTTTGTATTTTTATGTATTTATTAATTTTTAAAAATATTTTTTCATAATTTTTTTTTTAGATACATCTAAGTAAGGTGCATCTAAAAAAAATATTTAAAATTTTAAAAATATTCACTAAAAATTAAAAAAAAAAACACGAAAGACACTTTCAGCCGTCTCAAAAAAGCAAAGTATTTGCGACGGTAGAAAATACCGTCACAAATGCTCTCATTTTTTGAGACGGCAAATTGTGCCGTCGCAACTGCTATGCTTTTTTAAGACTGCAAATGGTGAGGTCGCAAATACTCTGCTTTTTTGAGACGGCATTTTCTGCCGTCGCAAAAAGTGACTTTTTGAGACGGCAAGTTTGCCGTCGCAAATAGTCCCGTCTCATATACCCACTTTTCTTGTAGTGCAAGAAGTGAAGAAGGCTTGAAGATCTCACTTTTCAACCGATTGGATTTCGGATTGGCGAAGGATTCTTCTTGGAGCTTTGCTCTTTTGCTTGATTCTTGAGGTAGGGGCCCTAGTTCTTCTTCAATACTTGCATTAATAGATAGATTTATGTTATTTTGATCATATAAATGCAAATCTACATTTTTTGAGCATATAGTGTTATATCATGGAAATTGGAGGTTTAGAGTTTGAAGTGTTGGGATTCAATTGTTGGGTTAAGATTATGGATTATGAACCTTGGATGTATAATCAATGGGAAAATTGGAATAAAAAGAAGTGGTGTGAGAAGTTTTAATTATTCTTGAAAGTCTTGATTTTTCTTGAAAACCCTAAGTTGATTCATGATGATAATTAATGATTTTGCCCAAATTGAAAGTAGAATCATGAAATTGAGAGGTTGAATTATATATATACAAATTTAATTGGATTTTGGAAGTGTTTGAAAATTATGTTAAAAATTAGCGATTGAACCTTTATTATCGATATTGTAAATTGACATGCATCATAGATTTCTTGGAATTGATTTCATGTTTTGATGAAATAAGAACTAAGCTTTGGAAAATTATGAATTTATGAACAAAGAACTTAATTTGTAAATTTAAGGAGTTTTGATGTAATTGATTTAAAATTGATCATGTTTGTTTGATGAAGATGAGCATCAATTGTGTTATTTAAGTTGAAAATGAAGCCTACATCTCACATGCATATGAAATTCAAAGTGATATGGAAATTAATTTGCATATGAAATTCAAAGTGATATGGAAATTCAAAGTGACATGGAAATTAATTTGCATAAATTTTAAAGACATGAAGTTGGTATGGGTTATCAAGAAAAATGTGAAATAATTTGGGAATTGAATTGTGATTTTGGACAAATTAAACTCAATTTTCTTATGGCCTCATATTGTATAAAGATTTCCATAATTTTGTATCAAGAACATGAGTTTTAGACCCTTTGAATGCTAAGTTTGAGCTTCAAATGCAATTTTGGAAAATTCCAGAATTCAGCATGTCCGCTCGAGCGGAGAAAGCACCGCTCGAGCATGAAATGTTGGTTTCCAAAACTTTTGCAAATATTGATGTCCGCTCGAGCGGAAAGAGTCACGCTCGAGCGTAGAAATGTAGAAACCAGTACTTTTGCAGACCAAAAGGGTCCGTTCGAGCGGTCAAATCCGTGCCCGAGCGGAGAGCCCTGTTCCTGAAATTATGAAAAATGGTTTTGTGTTTTGTTTTCCGTTCTCTTTCATTTCTAAGCACTCTTAGGAATACATTGAGCTTTGTAAATGACCTAAAGGGTAAAGAAAGAAGCCTAAGAGAAATAAATAAAATAAAGAACGGATTGAATTGTTTGTGACCCAATATGTGTTATGAATTGTGTAGGGTCGAGCATAAGGACGAATCCACCAACAGAACACTGTGAGTAATATCTTAGTAAAGATATGTTCAAGTATGTTGTTTTCCCAAATGTTACTTTTGT